CAGATCCGAAAATTGGGGTCAGAACAGTAGGAACGAATTCACGAAGACGTAATATTTATGAGATAGCCGAAGGAATTCGGTGTCTTCCGGAACTCTTTAACACTTTAACGCCGCGCTTAGGATTCCGATCGCGCTGATTTATTTGCCGGTCGTCTCGTCGTAAAGCAGGCACGTAAGGAACGTGTTAGCGAGATAATCGTAAAATTAATGACAGCTTTGGGTGGTCTTCAGTTGTCTCACAAGTCAGAAATCAAGAATAATTACATGTCTAATGTCGACCGCAATTGTATATTTTGACTTTTTAAAGACTTTTATTAAAAATTAGTTTTTGTTATTACGTCTATAATTCACGAAAGGAATGATTTTGTTGAGTATTCTAAAAATTTGGAGATATATGTATATATATACATATATATATATATATATATATATATATATATACGCTGAAAATGTAGAAATGGATTTACTCTATGCCAATGTTTATATATTCACTGTGTGATAATTGATATTGATATGAACAACATGTGGATTTAACACTCTGATTTAAGGAAATCCTAAAAATTAATTATTATAAACATCGGCTTACATCAAAAAAGAAAAAACATTTTAAATATCACTTATTTTTAGCATACAGTTGTTATCTGACAATATTTGCTATTAGAATGTCAAAATTCAATGTTTGCAACATTGGTTATCACATTTGATTTTTCCACATAATTATTTTGATGGTTCATCAAAATTAATTGCAGATCTATATTTAAATTTGTATACTTCAGCAAAATCGTTTCTTCTTTGTACGATTACAGTTATGCGAAAGTTGTAACGCAAATTATAGAAGTAAAGTCGCATCGATAACAGTCCTTATTGTACATATTATCAATTAAGTGTTATTAAGTGTTATCCAGTTATTCTTACAAATGAATGAATTACTGCTCGTTGAATTATTTATCGTCAATTCGTACACAAAAAGATCTAAACTTTAGCGCAATACAAATCTGAAAAAATTATTTTTGTTGGACTATTAAAATAATTATGTTGTAAATTAAAAAATTATGAGTAATGCTGCAAAAAATTTTGAGATTCTAGCAACCAGTTTGAATTTCCAACAAAATTATAATAATAATTATTTTAAATCTGTATCCGGTAAAATTTTAAATGTTTCATCAAAACCATTTTTTCCGTGTAATCGCGTTGCATCGCAGAGGGAAGATACGTCCGAAGCGAGAATCAAAATGGTAAAGGCTGTATATCTCGATGAACGTGGAGATAATCGCCTCCCCCAAGGAATGCACCGGTGCAAATCTGCATTCTATGGATGGCGCGAATGCCTGCGGCGGCGCGTGGTTCCCATATCTCACGGCATCCGGAAACTTTGCAATTAACACGAGAATCCAACGCGATCGATGCGTGAGAGGCCGATAATGAATTTGGTTCAAAGTTGGAGCACCCCCGATATATCCGCACGCATAATGCATGCATAAACGCTCGCGTAAATAGACCCGCGTTATGAATCGATAGAATTTCCATAAGGAGGTATTCACGATATTAGCATCAGTTTTATTGCAATCGTAAAAGATGTCTGCCGCAAGATTTATTGTGTTTACTATGTAAACATTTGGAAATACTGGAATATGATAGATAGTAACCTTAGCAATGTTCCGACGCATTAATCATTCGTATATTTGTACACGCAAACTCCATATAAATAATTACAACTGCTCCAAATTGATAGTCGCAATTTTTACGAAAAAAAAAAAAAAATAGATACAATTCTCTCTTTTGTTAATTTTTTAAATATTATTATGTTAATCTTATGTTAATAATATAGGTATATTTTCTTTCGAATATTTTAAAAAGACACTTAACGCAACACAAAAAAAAATAAAGTTATTTATTTTAGATGTCTAAATCTAAATTCGTTGCTCTGAATATTTTTACCGATGTCTATTCATAAGCCGCGAAATATGTTTGACAGTTATCTTCCTGTGAGTTTCGCTTCCCGTTCTCTCATACATATCGCCATTAATTACGACGTGTTGAAACTCGATTTCGCGCGGAACTCAGAGAGGATGCTCGACCCCACGGGGTTAAGAAATTAGCGGCACAGCGCGCTGCGGTGCGGCGTGGCTTACGAAGCGAAATAACGACGAGTAGCTCCCAGAAATGCGAAACACGGTGAGAATTCACGTAAGCGCGATCGTCCACGAGCCACAAAGTCGTAACCTGCAGTGCCACCGGCTACACGGGACAACTATGCACGTGCGCAACTATGCACGTGTGCTATGCTTAAGAAACAAGGAAAGAGAAACAGAGAGAGAAGGAAGGGGGATGGGAGAACATCGTTTGGTCCAGCATATCTCTCGGTAGCTAACGTAACGCCACTCTGGTCATTAGTATCTATCTTCTCCGTGTCTATCCTTCCTCTGATGTTCCGATCTAGATTTGCTCCACTACGCTCTGTTCCGTTTCTCTCGGATCTGCGATTTACTCAAATCTTCAGTATTTATTGTCTAATTATAAAATTGAAAATCAAGAAAACCATGTAATGCAATGAATCTTCAATTTATTGTATTAATTTACGATAATAATTGTAATTTCTGGAATTTTTGAAAATTTTCTAAAAATATACCAATCGAATAGTTTTATTATTAAAGTATTAAATAATTTAGCTATATCTGAAAATAATTTTGTTGGATTATAAGAAAAATTATTTAAAAGACTAACAATATCGTTGACAATACTGCGACAAGTTTTTGCAACCATTTTAAGTCTTATATATAATTATATTTTAATAGTTCAAACAGAATTGTTTTCAGATCTGTATCTAGCTAAATTTTTAGATATTTTAGCAAAACTGTTCTTTCCGTGCCTGAAATAAAAATCTTTAAAATTGTTTAAATAATTGTTTAACTTCGAGGTTTTAATCCACAAGATTTCTTGACAATTCATAAAACGCGGCCACAATTGCAACATCACAGAACGAAGTCGAATGTCCATAAAGAGCAGCAATGTCGTTACGACATTGTTGAGTTTGCGCGCCATAGTATTATTAAAGAGACTAGATAGAGTGGAGAGTTGGCAAACTTATTTTGTAGCAACTAACCGACCTGATTTAATTTAACGGAATGGACTCGCTAATTAGCGCGAATTATTATTACGATGCGATAATCGCGGAACACGCCGATTGGAAATTGCGATCAAGTACGAATTATTATAACCGTTGGTACAAAGTGCAAGCAAACACTATGGAATCTTATCAACGCACTTTAATCGCGATAGCCTTATTCCTTAACGAGCATTCCTGATCGATATCCCCGTTATCGATCCTGGAAATCACGTTCGGAATGCAGCTGTATTCGTGATTACACATTTTATTGTACAAAGGCAGTATCGGGAGCACAGACGAATGAAAATACTAAATACACGAAAACTGATTACAAAACGAGAAAATATTAATTCCTAGACTATTTTAAATGCATCGAAGTGGATCAAAGAAGACGGAGCGAAGAAACGAAATAAATACCAAAGTAAAATCGACTAGAAAATAAAAGGTACCTATTATAAAGAACGAAGGACGGACGTTAATAACCGATGGCACTTAGCTAGTGAGAAAAGGAAGTATAAAGGATCAAATTCCATTATAATTTTGTCTTGCTTGACACGTGCGTTGTTTATGTAAGGAATACAAGACGATAGATCACTCCGAGGGATTTGTCGCATCGTGAATTTAAGTTATTCCATGCCAAAGTACAATGTTGCCCGAAATCTCAGTGGGCATATCTCAATCCCGAAATAGTAGTTTAAATGTAACTATCCACAAGGAATTGAATCATTACTCATCAACGTCAGTATAAAGCAGAAAACAACAACAGGAAGCAATGTCACAAGTGTAATTTTCATTCAACACTGACTAATTCTAACAAGACGCGAGAGATCGAAGGAAAGAGGGAGAGCTGCCAATTTAACATTCGTTGACGATTCGAGGGAGTCTGAACGAATTACGAGTTCAGCAGCAGCACTGAAGTAACAAATCCCATCGCGGATAAGCCATTATGCTCAAAGGCAGTGCGCCAGGCATTTCGCCGGCACATTGGCTGCTTTGAATTCAGATTGCACGGCCATGCGGCCTCTGCGTTTTTGTTCTTCCTCTTTCGCAGGCAATTTATGCAATCTGGCCCGCGTCGTGCGCGTATTTATAACCGCCGGCCCTTTGTGTGTTAATTTGTATTTGGATATCTTGCGCGGAGGACGAACCGTGAATCTTCTCGATCTTTTTGATCGATCCAACGCACCTTCGCATTTTTCCGATTTACAGGAAAGCGGGTTTTAGACAATATCAATTTATGGGTAATTAAAAGTATGGCTATGTTAATTAAAATTTTGAAATATTGCTATAACTAAATATAAAAAATCTATTTACAATTTTTTTCGTAAAAATAAAAACATCATTAAAAGATAGCATGTCCAATGTATAAGATGTCTACTATTTTAATCTTAATGTTATTTAAAAAAAATATTTTGTATATATTAATAAAATAATAATGCTAATAAAAATAAATTAATGTCGAATTAATGTCTTTCTTTAATTAACCTGTTATAAAAATGATTATAAACATTATTTTATCTTTAAAAGGATCAAAAGAGACGTGTGATATGCGCAGGATAAATAACAGGAAAGATCCGCGCCACAAGTTGGGGCGAGTGATCGACTTTGATCTCTGCGGTTTTTATAGAAGCATCCCACGTCACGATTTGAGCTTTCGCGGCTGTCGCAACTCCTCCGCGGAAATCCCACAGAAATTGGAGCGAGATGCTGCTGAGAGATGGGAGAATTTCACGAGCGAGCGACTTCTCCGCGTCGCGTCTCGCCGAGGTGCAACGCACTCGTTCGAATAAAAGTTCCACGAAGAAGAGGCCGCTCGCTCGAATTGGCCCCTAATTTCTTCCCCATAACTAAGGAGGCACACTTTATGACCGGCGGTTCCCTTTTTCTGTTGCAGCGTTGAAGGTGAAGCTCATGTTGAGGCGACCCATCAATCAGCTGGTTGCGCAAGGCATCATGCCACGTAAGTGTTGATCCGCTTGTTTATTACACCGTTTATATACATTTTTTTCCTCTCTACGCCGCGGAAAATTGCGCCTGTACGACTCAAGGCTGTTAAAACTCTCGCTGATGCTCGCGATGGTTGTGATCAACGTAACTTTCGTTACGACCGTCATTGAACGTCATTGCCGGCTAGTCTCTACGGTCTTAAAAACGTCTTCACACACGTGGGATCGATTGATACACGCACGAGTTAATTATCACGCCGTTCTCAAGAATACGTAAGAAGTATATAGGACTGATATCTAGGACACATCTAGATCGTGGTAAATTGCTTCGCAACAATTAAACAAATTGACAATTAGCTATCGTTTTTTTGTGAGTTTTAAAGCGAAACAAATTAGGTCGCTTTTAAGTCGGTCAATTAATCTTGTAATAATTAAATCATTCTAAAAAAGATTTAATCAATAAGATAAAAAAAGTTTTCAAAAGAAATTAAATTTTCTTCCCTAGAAAATATTACAATAAATTTGTATTTTTTAAATATTGCTTCCTTTATACTTAAAAAGTGACACAACTAAAAAAAAACGTAATTTCAAGTTATTATCATGAACGAGTTAAGTAAATATTGTCTTATTAATTATCGAAAGTGAACTAATTTCATTCAAAATTATCAAAATTGTCACAATTCAAAAAGAGTGATTTATTTAAAATAAACTAAAATGATAAATAATATTTGATCCTATTAAGAATATATTTTTTTGTAGATATCATTTGATTAGACAATAATTTTCTGTCAAGAAAAATAATTTTTTCTCCTTTCTGGGAAACTTAATTATTTGTTGTGTTACTTTTGAAATAATAAGGAGCGATATAATTGTTTAAAAAGTTCTTATGAATATATTTTAATCAGTCAAAGAATATTCAATATTTTGTTTGCGTTTATATTCTTATAAATAAAAAATGTAGTAAACACAATTTTTTTTAATTTTCTCACAATGTTGTTTTCTGCATGAAACAAACGATTCGATTTTTTCCTCACCATACCGTGGACTAAAATGAAGAAACAAAAGTAAAAACATTCGCGCGGCGTATGGCGTGCTCGCATCCGAAATCCTCGAAGCGATCAACAGCAGTCTAGTTACTCGGTAGATTTACGATGGATACCAAATGTTTACCAGAACGAGAGCACGAGCATCCAGTAATTATTTGGGTCACACCCTAAAATATTGCTCTTGTTACCGCTGGCGCGTTTATGGCGCCCGGTATATATCGTCGGCTTGATGAAAATACGCGGTTTGATAGGCCTCATTCGACTTTACGCGTAAAGCCGCGTGTGTGCACATGCATTTCCATGCCGCGCGTAGGGTTCATTCATCTGCGATTTTCTGGGGCTTTAAAGTTAAGCCCCGTATACACATTCGCATGCCTGAAAATTTATTACATTCAAAAATTGATAGATTCCCGCGAACCGTTTTTCTGAAAAAGTTTTTTCGCTAATATTTCTTTTTTCTTTACTACTACTATTTTTACTTGAACAACGCTATTTAAATATTATAAAATTTAACGTTTTAATTTTTTTATATCATTTTGAAAGACATTTTCAATTTCATATTCTTTATTTTTTACTATATATTCTTAGCTAGCAATTTATTATTGCTTTATTATTATTTACACATTTCTTTTTTATATGTTATCTTGACTATTACTATTACTTTAATTTATTTCAGTCTTCACTTAAATTTCCTTAAATTGTGTATTTCTTAGCTAGGAATTTATTAGTTTATTATTTCGTCTATATATGCTATTATTTCTATTATGTTTTATAAGTTTAAGATAGCATTATGCTGATGTCTCATCTTTTGAGATGCATTTTCCCCTATTTTATTCTATTCTGAATATTAACTCATATTATTCTCATTATTTACACTTCAGTAAAATTATTATTTTTATATTTTACACTTATGAGATTACACATTTAAATAAAAATTTAATTGCTTCTAAATTTTTTTCAGTATTATATAAATATTAGAGATACTGAAAATTATTCACTAAAAGAGTAAAACATGTGGAGAGTTGCTCGTTATAAAGGCTGAGAATGCTAAGAATGCAAAATTGAATGTAATTATATAATAACGCATTATATGTTTACGACGGTATTAAATATCTGCCAAATTTGTTGCTTTGCCACAGTGAAATATGCGCCAAATCGTACATCATCATGCGTATTGCCATCGTGAGTACAACGAGCAAATGTAAATGCAAATAAACCTACACGTTTTTCTCCTAGGATGTCAATCGTCGTGTAAAGATCGCAGTGTCTCTTATTTTATTTCCCGAATCTTGAGCCTATTCCAACCGCGGAAAGCGATGTTTATTGCGGCAAATTAACGACGCTCCTCGGACAGTTGGTCTGAGATTAGAATAGTTATTGCAAGGACGTCGAATATCTTTGAAACACATATCAAACCTCTGACTTCTCGTTCGCCAAAGGAAATAACAAATTATTCTAAAAAATATTGGTGTGCATTTAACCCTATGCAACATACATTTTTCTATTAGTCCAATTTCAACGAAACTTGATACTCAATAGATGTTTAAAAATATTAATGTATGATATCATCACTTTACAGAGAACCCAAATATTATTAAAAAAATATGTAAAAAAACGTAAAAATCATAAAAAATTAAATAGAGAAATATTAACACTGATATAATATGGATTTAAAACTCCTGATGTTTCTACAGGGTGTTAAAAAAACATTTGACATTTATATGATGATAGATATTATAATATACATTATACTGATGGTAAGTAAAAATAGGAAAACTTAGTAAACATAGGAAAACTTAATCGTTTCTACGATATAAACAATTTTGTATATTAGTATCATAACTAATTCATTGATTTTTATGTGTCGTATGTGACGTGAAGATTTACTTAAGTGTTTACAAATCGCGTTCTGAATGTTCTGATTCAGTTTCCATACGATTCAATAAAAAATTTTATCAGAAATCAGTAATTATACTGATTACTTATATCTAAGTAGTGTCTCGGCGCTAAAGTATAATTTAAGTTAACATTAACCAGCAGTTACTATTGCCATTGAATAAGAGATCATCTCATTAGATCTGTAATTCTCTCAAATAGACCTATTTATCAGTCCTATTTATCTTAATTTCTTTCTCTTTCTTTTCACGTCGTATGTAACACATAAAAAAAGAGACAAGAAATCAGTTATAATACTAATATACAAAACTATTAATCGCAGAAATGATTGAGCTTTCAATCTATGTTCATTAAGGCTTTTTTAGTCAGTATGGTATGTACTATCTACCATATAAATAATTTTTTTAACACTTTGTGTCAATATCATCACGATGTAAACTTAAAACTCATGTTATTAAATCCATATCATGGCGTTAATAATCACCAACACAGTGAAAATCATATAGACACCGCACAATGTTAAATCCGATATTTTTTAGAGCGAATGGCTTCGAAAAAGAAATGATGCCAATGCGCGGCAACTCAATTCACGATTGCAATTATTTGAGAGAACAAAGCAAGAAACATACGTACTGAAAGATGTAAATTATAGATCGGTCCATAAGCGATCTTATAATATCCCACTTTAGTGCGATCCTCTGCGCGAGAGATCAGAAACCCCTACCTCCCATTACTTTTTTATTTTCCCTTCGTACCTTCACAAAAGTACCGTAAATTCTCCGTAACGAGCCGAAGAGTAATATCCGACGAGGAACGCGTTGCATCTCTCGCGGCCGCGACGACGAGCAAGGGAATTACATCCACGATTAATCTCGAAGATGCTAAAAAAAACTGGCGACGGGGAAAGAGGCGGACGGCGTGCCCCGTTCCACGACTGGCTGGATGGAAACTTACGGCACGCGGTTAAAATACCAGGGCGCCCATGTATTTTCACATTTCCGCTGCCGACATCGGCGACGCGACCGTAGGTGGGTACGTGCCTTTTATTCCGCGTAATGACGACGTCCACGTCTACATGCGTCGCACCGACAGCATCCGCGTCTGGAAATAGTGATAGAGACACATTTCGGGGATCATTTATCCACCGATTTAACGGCGTTGAGGAATGCAGGAGTCTGAGGACACATCATGTTAACACCAAAATGCTGCCTTGGAGGATCATCGGATACCGTTCCGGAAATTGATGCCTATTGCATGCGTCACGTTGCGTACTAAGAAATTTGACGTTTATTTGTTTCTTCTTCTTTTTTTTTTTAAAGAAAAATCCATTTGATCAAAACACCGAAAAATTGCGAATCTAAAATTACGAATGAGAAAGTAATGACAGCCCTGTTTCGACTTCTTTCAAAGCTACTCGAAGTAGCTTTCACCGAGACGTTTCAGCGCAATGTCGCTCTTAAAATTAATCACGCCCAGACGGGTGAGTAAAGTACGATATAAAAGACACGAATGTTTTTCCTTGCGCGCAGCGTTGAAGACGCCACCGGCGTTTCACGAGCAACGGAAGCAGCTGGAAAGGGCGAAGACAGGCGATCTGCTGAAGGCAAAGATCCAGCAGAGGCCAGGCAGAGACGAGCTGGTTCGGCAGCATATCCTTGAAGATGTAGGTCACGTGGATCCGAGTCTGGCGGAACGGCAGCGAATGCTGAAGAAGGCCAGGCTAGCCGATCAACTCAACGATCAGCTCAGTCATCGACCTGGGCCGCTCGAGCTCATCCAAAAGAACATCCTTCATACTGAAGAGCCCATCGAGAGGGCGGTCAAAGGTATCTCGCGATAGCTTCCATAAAATAATTATATAAGACTCTCAAACTGATTGCTAAAATATCAAAACTTTTTGCAGCATTACTCATCATAAGATTCCTACTAAATATTTTAGTAATTATTTTAACGATTTAACAAAATTATTTTTAGATCTGTATCTAGTTAAATTTTTAAATACTTCAGCAAAATCGTTCTTTCCGTGTACATGTCAACGCGATTTTTCATGACTAAATTCTCCCTCCAGAGGGTCACATTCCCTTCAAGGCCACCTGCGAGGGGCAGGTGACGAAACCCCAGCACCCGGACCACTACATCACTTTCGAGGATGACTCCCAGAGCTCGGAAGGTGCGCCTTCACCACAACTGGAGTCGCGATCATCGGATGTTCTGGAAACTGCGGCCGCTTCTGCGGGCATCGTCACAGTTTCCTTGAGCATACCGTCGACCGGCGGTGCCGTTGTGGTCTCGTCGACGTCTCCCGTCTTCCAGCAAACGACTACTGAATCGACAATACAGACATTCGCCGAACTTTGCAACACCGTTGTCGGAACGCAGCAGCAACAGGGTCAGCAGCAAGTTCCACACGGCCAGCAACACACGTCTACACAGGTAAAGTTTTAGCGCAGAAAAACAAAAAATAATGCAAACATTTATCTTCTTATTGGATTGTACATCGACACGTGTCATTGAGCTTCATCTCTCATATTAGAATTAGCAGTTTTTCGAACTTAATCTCTAAAACGTTTAGACGGCAATGAAAGCGTTAATCGAGCACGACGAAGATTAATCGCGCAATTCCCGATGGTAATTCCGATATTTAGAAGGTCGCCATAATTATGTCAATAGCGATCGATACCGCGTGTCAGTTGCATTGTAGAAGTTTGAAAGACCATCAGACGACCTCTTTCTCTTTTAACAGGCGAGCCAAACGACGAATGGCCCGTCGACGACCCTCCTACCATTGGCGCCGGCGCCGAGTCCGATGTCCTTGGGCTCGACAACGTCCAGCTTGAGTCCCCTATCTAACATCTCGATAGCGTCACCCCCGGCACCGCCGCCGGCGGCGATCACCCCGCGGCCCCAACCAAGCCCGATAGCCGCCACCGCCGTCCCCACGTGCCAAAGGAGCGACGCCCCCGGGAAGGACAAGAACAGAAAGAAGTCGAAGACCAAGAGCCAACCCAAGACCCGCACGATCAAGTTCCACGAGTATAAAGTAAGTTCACTTTCAATTTATTGTGTCAACATTTCGACGACGAGAACAACTGTGTCATTCTGTGTGACTTGCACGAAGGAGAGCAGCGCGAGGGCATACATCGTTTTTCTTTTATCGCCGTGTTGCAAAATGATACTGTTGGTTCTCTCGTCGGGAGGTATCGATTTTATTACGCAGGGCATTATGTCTTCACAGAACGGCTATTGAATTGCGATGAAAGTTATTAAAGGATCGAGATTATTTTCAAAGCATCGAGATTCTGACATCACTGTTCACGATCACCGGTCCATCGCGTGAATCTTTAAACGTAATAGATATTACGTAAGACAATTGTTGATCGATTAACACACTATTTCCTCTTAATATTTAAACAAAAGTAGTTTTGTAATAATATTAAATACAGTATTAAATCGGCGGTAATTTAAATTGATTTTTACATTATGTGCGCGTTCAAAGTCAAATTGCTTCAATCCTTAATTTCGTAATTAATTCATTATTAGAACGATAAAACATTCAATCCATAGATTAATAGATATTATTATTGAAACGGAAATTTATATAATGCTATCTCTTTCTATCTCTTCCTTGTGTAATTTTTTTTACTTTTGTTTGATACATCGAAATTATCCGGTTTAAGCTTAAATTACTCGGCACTGCTAAATTATTCGGTCATAAACTCGAGCCAAAAGATTTTACCGGAAATGCTTCGCTCAGTCGTGAACTAGTGAGTTCGATAAGCGATGAAACGAGAGGTGCAAAGTAATTTTTAATCCGAAGCATGACCAGAATATACACAGAGGCGCGCGATAATTATCGTGTACCTGGAACGGCCGGGTGATACTACAAACTAGTGGCGAAGTGCTCGTCGGTCAGCGTGGGCTAACGGAGGGCCGCATTTCGGCGTGGCAGCCAGCGTGCGGGGCAAAAAAAACGAGACAGGCAAAAAGGATAACATGAGAGCAAGAAAAGGTGGTCGTGTAGAAGGAGGAGGACAAGGTAAAAACGAGTATGGAGCATGGACCGTGAATCTCGGCTCCCGTGGGCCGCCGCAGAGAGCAGCGAAAAGGCGTAGAGAGCCCCAGTCTCTTGGGGTCTGGAGGAACCTCGGAGGTAGATCGTATCGGGTGATTAACTCTCGCGATCTCCCCAGAGCAGGGCTCGAAGCCCCACCTCGTTAGCTCTGAGTAATTCGAGCGCTAATTGCACCTAAGAGCGGAGAAGTCAGGAAGCGGGCTGCGCGGGGTCTTCTCCCCCAGACTCCGATAGACGCCGAGCCGAATCAAGCCACTGGACCCCGAACAGCGCACGGGCCCCAAAACATCCGAGATATAGCGTGGCCGGTGTGAAAGCGAACCGGGAATGGGCGTGCAAATGAGGGCGCAGAAAACATCTTGATGTATCATTTATCACTCGGCCTGGCCTGAACCGAAGAGCTACGTCACCTACCTACCTACCTTGGTCTCCTCTTCACTGGGCGCCAGACAGTGATGTCAGGAAAATATATTTCAAATCTGTTCACGGGTCGCGAGCAACGTTACGTAAAGCGAGAAGCATAAAGGCGGGGTTTATTCGGGTTGCGAATCGTGTACAACTTGTTATAATAAATGGTCAAGCGCGAGTTGCATTTTTTATATTTTCTTTACGTAATGATTCTTACTATAGGGACCGCCAAACGCGCAGAAGGCACCAGTGTCGTCTAACACTTCCGGTCTCGGCGGCGCGCAACCCGGTGAGACCAGTTATGAGCTACTTCTACAACAGCAACAGCTGTTCCTCCAATGGCAGCTCGAGTGGCAGCATAAGGTACTGATGCATGCATTATAGCACGCGCATTACAGCAATTAATTCCAACACCTAATATATATATATATATATATAAAATTTCAGATAAATAATTTTTATCTTTTTTTAAAAAAATCATTTCTCTCAAATATTTGCTTTTCAAATTCATAAAAATAGTTTAAAAAATCTTTTTTTTTTTCTTTTAATTTAGTATCCTCAAATCATCTTGCCGGCCGCGCAGAAGCCGCTATCGCTGACAAGTAGCGGCGCGAGCGATGCTGGTAGCGTGAGCGGAAGTAGCGCGAACGCTGCCAGCCCGGCTCCGTCGAATTCTTCGAACAATCCTTCGGAACAGCCCCCACTGAGGCCTTTGGGCAAATTAGAAGATATGAAAGGTATATTGAAATCGCATCGAAAGATCGGTCGCAAGAATCGGAAAATAATTTCGTGTGTCGCGTTTACAGTGAGCGACCTAAAGGTAGAATTGAAACGACGGAATCTGCCAGTGTCGGGCTCGAAGCCGCAATTGATCGAGCGATTAAAGCCCTTCACAGAATCCAGCAGCAACTCGATCTCTAACTCTACTGGACCACACGTAACACACATGGGTCATATCCTGATGGACACACCTGGCCCGATGGCAACGGATGATTCTAGCTCTCAGGTCAAGAGTCCGAGTTCTATTGTGAAGGATGAGCCGAGCAGCCCGCGAACGGCCTCGCCCCACAGTAGCGAGCACGACGACCCGTTGAGTCCACCAGGTAAAACGTCTCGATATCTCTTCGTTAGATTAAGCACCACTTTAAGTGTTTGGTGTGCGCGCAAGGAACGATGAGACTTTCGAGCGAGGCTGTTGATTTGAGAGACAGCACACGTGGGTGTTTTTACGACACAGTTCGTGTTTCAGGAGATGATATCATCAAGGTGCAGAGGAAACGGATAGAGGAATTACAGCGCGAGCTGTATAAGTCGCAACAACAGCTTCAGCAGATTCGTCAAACACAACCAACCACGGTGCGCGCCGAGAAACTGGCACTTCAGCAACATATACAAAATAAAATGCAACAACAACAATTGGCTTTGCATCTGCAGCAGCTTCAGCACTTACAACAACAGCAACAACTACAACACCAGCAGCAACAACAACAGAGCCAACAACAAACGCAACCACAACAAGCTACGATTCATCAAATCAACGCGAAAGCGAGTCTTGCAGCTTTTCTGCAAGCGCAACCAAACAATGCCACTGCTATTCTTGATTCTGCGACTCTGACCGCGATTAACAACAAGAAGAATCAGTCTAAGAACAGCACTACTGTCCAAATACCTACGGCCATCGTCTTAAATTTGGCGAAGCCGACAAAGCTGAATGGCTCACTTCTTGGTGCTCTCGTGGCGCAAGCGCAGGTTCAACAGCAGCAGCAACAACAAACAACTACTACTGAAGACATCAAACCACCGCCACCGCAGTACGACGAAGCTGCTAAGTTGCTGAAGGTATAATTATTTTATATTATAACTCTATAATCAGTAATAAGTAATAAAAGTTGTAATGTTCAAATTCTTCTAATACATATATATGAATAATTTTGTCATTTGTCGCATTTTATTTACAGGTCAAAATCGAACCAGTTCAAAAGAGTCACATAAAAAGTCAAGTAGTTGACGACGTATTGGAGATTCTGATCAAGAATGGCGAACTACCACCAAGTGCCGCGCAAGATCCAGCTACTCCCACGACTCCAAATCGCCAGCTACAGCCAAATCTGGTCTTCACCGCGCCGGCGGACAATCCAACTCAATCGTTAGTTTTTACGGCCGCCAGTCCAATGAGTCCGATTAGTCCGATACCGATGGAGGTATCTCAGAGTGGTTGTCCGAGTCCATCGACACCAGCACCACCGCCACCGCCACCATTACCATTAACCGCATTCTCCATTCAGTTACCTACTGCACTTCAACAGCTACAACAGCAGGAAGAGATTACTGCCTTCGGCACGGATCTTCTAACCTCCGAAGCGGAGCTAGACGCCACGATGTTACTCAGTCCTCAATCAGTGCAACAAGCTTCCCCAGATCCTCAACCACCACAAGAAGTGACTCCCGATAATGCAAATTTAGATCTCAAAGTATGTTTCTTTAGAGAGGAAATTTATTAAGAAGAACAAAACTATTTTTTGTAATAATCAAAATAATTATGATATAATTAACAAAAGTACAAATGGAATTAGCAGTTATTCAAATTAATATTATATTTTTCAGGAACTGGGATTGGACTTGGAAACATTGGATCCAATGGACTTCGTTCAACTGGATTGCGACATGCCGATGGATATGGACGATCCTGATTGGTTGGATTCCCTAATGCCGCAATCACCACCGCCTTCAGCTACAATGCCATCGTCCAACCATCAGTCTAACACTCCATCAATCAGTCTCTCATCTACAGATATCTATGACCCATTATTAGGCAGCAGTCAGTACTCGTTTGATCTCTTTAACATGGAGGACTCTGACTTCAAGATGTCGTCCGACTTATCTCCAATGACCTGGGATAAGGTAGACTTTGCGACCTAGCCCGAGATACTCTTTTACAATCCGGCGTTATGTACTTAATTCTCGGCAGGTAATCAAAAGTATAATTCGAGATAGACAAAGAAAAGCGAACAATGATTGCGTTGCTTGAGGTCTGTACAATGCATTTTATATAAGCTATTTCATGACATTCTTGTCTCTGATGCATCTTGTAACCGACATTATGTGTACTTATACGCACGTCAAGACGAGAAATGTTGATTTTGAAAGTATAACTACTTTAAAAAATAGGTACATAATCGCGCGGATCGTTATCGTAATTAAGAATTAAGAACGAGAGAAGTTGTCGAATTATGGACCAGTGTTTGACACACGTGTCATCTTTCGGTCTTCTTCAATCAATGAACACTAACGCACGTCATTCTTTTGATTGGTGGTCTATCAGAAAAATATTTACATATATATATAATATTTTTCTTCTTGGAACTAAAATCTAAAATAGCGATATGTGTGTGCATGCCGTTCGTATATAAAAAAAGAAAAGGACCTAAAGTTTCAGGACCGAAATCAACTTTCAAAATTCTCCCAAAGAGTCAGCTTACGACAGGTTTTTTAAGCTAGTTTTTACTATCCAGTCGTGTGTTGCTTGGGTTTTAATAACTGCGAGAAATAGCGTGTGTGTCAAATCAAGGAGACGAGAAAACATTGCGTATATGATCCCTCGGATAATCCTCTGTTTCCAAATGCCTGCCCCCCTCCCGCAATCGTAATTAATCTTAACATAACTTTGCATAATTAAACACTTACAGAATCTAATATAACAATAATTATTGTAAAGATATGCATACATACGCATATAAACATACGTATACACATATGTAAAATATACTTCTACGTGCGCCTGACGTCTACGAGTCGTGTAACGTTTGAATACGCGAGTTCGGGGGCCTTCCAGCGCAGCTATACATATTTTCTAAGCCACAGAGCATGTGATGTTAGGAATTATTGCGTATTTTAATCGATAATCATAATAGCAATGAAATCGTAGGAATGGCTGCGTGCGCGAGCGAGCTACACAATCGCTACCGGGATCGGTTATCACGGCGCGGTCCTTCGATCTTTCCACCGCGACTAGTAATCTTTTTGTTGTTTTGTGACATTCCATGTTTCCAAACTGTATGAACAAGAGAGATCGAAGCCATGCGTGTCGCGAGCCGCAACCATTACGCACATCGCACCACGGGCGATCGTAATCGAAGGATTCCGTCTCGGAACATTATGTATCACACGAGAGTTGCTTTGTGGGTTAAAAAAATGTTGTTCTGCCCTGTTCCGAGACGTTCCTCGGAGACCAAGCGGCTTCGGACTTTGACGTAACGACGAGGGACCGCGATGTCGATCTCGGTAACGAGAGCTTGTATGTATTTGCGTGCGTGCGTGCGTGCGTGCGTGTGTGGTGCGCGCGTGTGTGTGTGTTTGTGTGTGTGAAAGAGAGAGAGAGAGAGAGAGAGAGAGAGAGAGAGAGAGAGATGTATCTTAAAGAGCGTATTGCTTGCCTGATGAAATGCAAGGAAATCTTTAATTGTGACAAAACAAATGATGATAAATCGTATCTTTGAATAAAAGTTACACAAAATATTTGTACTTTGAATAGATATATGAAAAATATCTGAATATTATATTTACTTTTATTAATTTTTGAAATACTTGACTTTATATCTGAACTACTTTTTATACAGGGTATCTCGAAATTCGTGGGTAATATTATTGCAGCGTGAAACTTCATGTTTATGTCTCTATGAAATAATAAGTAACGAATAAGTAACATTAAAGTTACAATTTGAGATTTCCTTAAGTTAGTACATGTGGTACGTATTAATGTTTATGGACAGCGATGGTGCTAATCGAAACCCCAATACGCAGCGATCGATGATTTTTCTAAAAAAGAAGTAATAAAATAAAATAAAACGTCGCGGTTGTTTTGATTCTTTTTTTTAAAGAAACACTTGTAATGATACCGCAACGTTCTGAATTTTCCTCGCAACCAACGTGCCTCGAAGTGTTGTTTTTTCTTGCGAGCTTTTTAGTTCCACGCGGAACTAGCGTTACTTAATACGAATAAAGAGAGAATGCCGTATTTAAGTTGTTAGTTTTTTTGAATGTGAGAAAATTAGTGAGGTGTGTTCCCACAATCTCATTAGCGAAACACGGTACATTGGTCCGCGATCGTCATTTCCTCTCCCGCATTCACCAGAGAAAGAGCAAACGAAAAAAATGCAACATTCCAAACATATTCACGCTTCATGGAGAATTCTAAAGACCTCGAGGTACTGCCATGTTCCGTGTACGTGAGAGCCCTGACAGAGGAAGCGAGGAGCGCGATCGTGCGCCCGTAACGCATCGCCGAATCCGTTTGAAACACGCGCGGAAATAATTAAGCTGGAACTCAATGCATTTAATTAAAGGAACCGGTTCGTCTTCCTGTCTTCTTCCCTCCCCTGCTCTAGTTCTCAGAGCCAGTTGCAGAAACATTCTTTTTTTATCGAATAATTACAGTAAGCGTTGATTCTGTAAATCTTATGAATTTCATAATTTACGGTATTTATCATGTCAAGGGAATCGATCGCTTATAAATATATTTTGTAAGTTGCACAGCATCCAAGGTACCGTTTTTTACTCGTAGCAAACGGCTCGCGAGGCATCAATCAATTTGCAGCGTTATTGTAGATTTGTTGTAAAGGCTGCTTTTTTAATCACGTTTTGCTAATATCTGCATTTAAGATATCGCTACCATATTGCTTCCTGCCGTTGTCTTAGGCTTTTAGAAATGATAAATGCGGCCTATCAAACTCATCTGTCACAAGAAACGGAACATGGCATCGGGGTGAGAAACGAAGGTGCCAAAAAGAAAAGTATCCCTTGCTATAAGCATTATGTAGAAAATCGTCACACTCGTCACCATCCGTTGCCTCATGACAATAAGGATTTTATTGTTCTCTTGTAAAATACTGTATATATATAAATGTGTAAAATATAACGGAAGAGATTGTGTGTGTTTTGTAGTAGCGAGCTTGACATATAATGAATTTATTTAGGGTAATTAAAAGGCAATATTAATTAAAAAGATCATATCATAAAACGCCGCATCCCTATCTTATCGAACTCGCGTCGCAACTCGAGCCACCATTCTTGGAAACGTTGCAATCGCGAAATTATTTTAAGTTTGAGTCGTTCATCATGATTCTGCCGATGATTGATCGATCTGTCAGGCTGTGCGAATCTGGTAGTCTGTCGTGTGTGGTGCATCTGCAGTGTATGTGCGTATCCGTATGAGTAATAAGTCTTTATGACTCGCGAGTGCGAACAAGGACGGAGTAAAGGCAGCCAAGCAAGGTGTAAAGTATGTAAACCGATTGCATCTATACATGTATACATAGCTTCGTCGAGTATATAACGAACCGCGCAGTTGCATCGACAGAAAAATGATGCAGTAGCATCGCACACACACACACACACACACACACACACACACACACACACACACACACACAAAACACATGTACTCACATATACACATAAAAACACACGAACACGTATATATACACTTTGTATGCGCATTACGTGCGCACCCGCGCGTGAGGAGTGGTATACATATAAGTTTTTTGTTATTAAGTATCATTGAATTTATTGTAATGATATACTCTTAAGTAACGATCACGTAATTATTGCTAGAGAGAGTGTTATTTATTTTTATTTGTTGCGAATTTATCGATTGCCTTCCATTTGAATAAAATAAATAAATATAAAGTTATTCGCTAAAGTGTTATTTCATTCTTTGTCTTCCCATCCTCCCATCTCGGATTGCAATTCTTGAAAATGTGGAAAATTCTTGGAATTTTAAATAGCGCAGTCTCTTCAGTATATTTTCCTGACAGTGTTCATTTTGAAGAATTTTAATTCGAAAAGTTGAATTCTCGAAATTGTAATTCTTGAAAATATTAGAAAATTCTTAAAATTTTGTATAGTACATCTTTCTTACGGATTCTTGTAATACTTCATCGATTTTTTAGAATTTAGATATTTGATATTAACATTCAATTTTTATCCATGATATCTGTGCATTAAAAAAAATTTCAAAAAATAAATTAATTATATTTACAGTAATAGAAACTAATCCTATATTCAAAGAATATGTACATTGTAAATGTATAAAAGCTGAATGTTGTAAGAATTAATTCATATCTAGTGCGCCATAGTTGTGCTACGTAGAATTATAATTTTTTTTTAGTAGTAATTAAATAGTTTAATGTTAATAAAATATTTAAATGTAGTGATAGAGTACTTAGTAATTTCAAAGGATTTCTAAGAGGCCTTCCACTCTCGCCAATTCTAATCGGCGGTCTTCTTTTCTTTGGATTAAAGACTAAAATAACGTGTTATTTAACATTGTTATCATTAATTAATTACTTTTTTGTAATAAATTATTGAATTATCAATTCAATGCTTATTATAATAATGCTTATTATCATGATACATTTAATTATTAATGCTTAATTAGTAATGCTTATTATCATGATACATTTAATATTTAACAATAAATAAAATTTATTGAAGTCATATCTTGAAGAATTTTGTTATAAAACTTTAAGTAATACGTATATTTTTATATTTATAAAATGTTTAAATAATCCAGTCGAAGTATAATTTATATTAATACTTTTTAAAACAATTTATATGGACTTGCACTATTTATTTTCGAGACTGTGATTTTATCGCCAATATCAGAGAGAAACTTGAGAGAGGCTATGCTAGCGTTTTTCCTGTTATCGTCGAAATTCCCCGTATACTATCCGCGCTAGTACATCCATTTTCAGTTTGGGAACTACATGACTATATACATTTTCTGACACTATCGATAAAATCGTATCGTCGAAAGTAGATATAATTCGTCTCTGTACTAAATCCTCAGAATAGAGCCTGCCAACTATTCATAGGAGGGATAATTTAAGTCCTTGAACGAAAAAATTTTAATTTCGCATCTCCTGCATATGTAAATAAAAATTGTTGAATTTTAATAAATGAAATTGAAAATTCAAATAAGTTAATTTAGTGAATTTTGTCTTATCTTGTCGGAGAGAGAGAGAGAGAGAGAGAGAGAGAGAGAGAGAGAGAGAATATTTATCTTATAATATCCTATAAAATTATTAGGTGTTGGAATTAATTCGTAGCGTTTTTAATGAAAGAATGTTATTTATTTCACATGAGCATTAAAAAATACATTAATGAAAGTACTTCCCATCACTTGTAAAACGCTACGAATTAATTCCAACACCTAATACAAAGTTATGTTTTTTATGCAATTTTTCAGTTTTTATCAAACATAATCAATAGTATGTATTAAAGTCTCTATAATTATTAGCAATTATAGATACTTTTAATAAATTCAAACTTTTCTAAACATATATTATCAATTTAATAATTTAGCAAAAACGAGTGATAGGAGTCCTCCACCTCTCCCCCTCCCCTCACTTTTATCGGCCAATTTAACCCTTCTTTTCTTTATAAGAATACTCACCCATAAAAAAAACGCACTACTAATAAATTTATTTTTTGCAGGTAAGTATATCTTTAATTTATTTTTTTATTTTTACGTCAAACTATTTTATTTCGCTAATGAAATTGCAAAATAATTTTTTAATATTATTCTTTATCGTAATCTTTTATACAATTCGATTACATTTATAATAATTATTTACAATTATCAATGCTATTCAAAATATAATAAAAATAATAATATAGGAGCTTAATCAACAAAGTTTTTGAGTAATGCGGCATTATACGAAAACGTCGAAAATACATAAGATAACATAAATTTTTCTAAACTAATGTTTAAAAAATAAATGAAATATTGATAAACGCAGAAGAAATATTAACAACGATTAGATTGTATTTACTAATAATTATTAATTTGTGAATATAACTTAAGAATATCACGATAAAAAGTCATTAATATATTTATAACAGCTTTTTCACAAATTCACGATCAAGATAACTATCTCAATAATCAAAGTTCCTTCGTCTTGCGATACGCTGATTAGTATTCGATACAAGGAAGAACAATCTATTTTCATAGTAGAGAGCGAACTGAATGTATTCTGATTCTTCGTAAAATTCATAAGATCCATTTGCAAAGAAAAGTTCAGCAATCCGTCAAATATCAATGATCTCGTTACAGGAGGGTGTGAATCCCGAATCTTTCAGACTACTTACGATAGTAATAATTTTAATAGCATGTCAATTACAATTACCATTTTTATTACATATTTAATATAATATTAAAATTCGCGAGAAAATGTTCTGCCATACATCACTAAAAATCATCTCGGATTAAAAATAAACGGATAGAATGATTTCCTTACGGAATAGTGGTTACGAAGGAATATATTTAATAATAATAAAATACATGCGTTAATGTAATTTTTTATATGTATGGGTACAAAAGTTTTTTGGATACCAATTGCTCGAGATAAATCGAACCTGATAATAACGGGATTTTAAAGAACTATACTTTTATACTAAAAAATGTATTATATAAAATTTAACAATTTCTTATTTCTTTGTATTTTCCAAAAATTTTAATTATTAATGTCCCGCTAATATGAGGGTACCTATTCGACTTATCTCGAATTTTTTGTATCCATACAATTTTAACTAAATTCGTGTATTCACGATAACATTATTAACAAAATATAAAGCATTTTGGTAAAAATTATCTAAGTTACAAAAATCAAAATTCGTTAAATATAATCTCGTAATATCTGCATGTATTTTATTATAAAAAAGTGTATACATATATATATATATATATATAAATGAATAATTAATAATGTCCTTGGCGGGATGTCCAATTCCTAAAAACGATTTTTAAAATAACAATTAGCAAATTACATAAATATACACATTCGTAACCACATTTTTGATAAAGCAATCATCGAAAAATAAGCAAATTATTTGTATAAAACTTAAATTTATTTACTTAATTATTTGGATTTAGACAAATAATCATTATATATCCATATTAATCATACTAAATTCCCATTGTCATTAAGACAGTGTATTTCTAACATTATTACTAGTGAGAGAACATTTAGTAAAATTAAGAAAACAATGAAAATTGTATTCTAAAATATAGCACTGAATTAATTTCGTAACTTGTCCTTAAAATATATAGCTAATTGTCATTGACTCATTGACAAAATTATTACTTCTTAGGAATTGACGAGAAAACGGGATTATAATATCATGTACAAGTATCTCCAACGGGACACCAAATTAAACTTTGCGAATGGATTTTGCGGAAAGCGATGAGGAATAATTTTCCATGATGAAAATAATTTCTACGCATTCACTAGCATCTATCTGACGCAAGGGATAGCAACGTTATTGCATATAATAAATTAATCACTATGATATATTTGTTATTTTGTAATGATAAAAATATAAATGTCAAAAAAGCAAGATGTTAATATTTAACCATTGATTCAGTTAAAGCTCCAATCTTTACTGACTTATTTAATAAATTTGTGTACTAAATACGAAGAAAATCAATTATTTTAAATATAAAATTTTTAATTCAATTTAGAAGTCACTCGAAAATACTAATAACTTTCTGATGCTCAAAATAGAACCCCAATTTAAAAAAAATTTCAAATGAAATAATTATCACACTTGTTAAATCATTAAATAATTTTTATCATCATATGTTTCGCCGATTTCATATAATTTACATCAATAACGTAACAATCTGATTTACTACGACAAGATAAGTGCTATTTATTGTCGTATTGAATAAATATTCAGTATGAATATATACATTTCAATAAATGTATAATTTATTAGCAATCATTGTGCAAATTACAAAAGTAAATATAATGGCATTTATTTAGATATAGTATGCATACATTTTTTGTATTTCACATACCTAATACTATTATACATACATTTATTTGTAATAAAATTAATTGCAATATTAACGCGTTACGTAACTTGTACATGTATAGAATTTTACCAAAAAAAAAGTAATTTCAGGGGAACAGAAAATTCAACGAAATTTAAAATTAATTTGATTTATTTTCATATTTGATAAAATTGGAACGAGATGTTGATAATTAAATAAAATTTAAAATTAACTTAAAATTTTATTCACTTTTTAATCCTCCCTTTCCAATTATCAAGTATGTACACGTGATGTCTACGTGTCGCTACCTACATATTATATATAGTTAGATTTATTATGGGATATTTTTAGTTCAATCACATAATTATTTTATCTTTATTTTTAAAATAACATTTAATTCCGATCGCGAAATTTATTCAAATGTCATTTAATTTTTACAATTTTGTAACAATTTAATTTTTTAATTTAAAATTGAGTTTACCCCTACTTCTCCATACGTTGTCCCTACCTATACAGTCTCTATCTATTCATACTTATCGTTCTACCTACCCGTATTTTCATTTATTCGTGCCTATTCATCTATCTCTACCTTCTTTATCCGTGTATTCCTAACTAAATTACTATAAATGTGTAATAACATCGCGAATACATTAATGGCTGCAAAAAAAGCAACTTTGTAAATTTAAAATTCTTCAATATGATTGTACTTTGGTTCTTTATGGATTTAAATGTATAAATCAATCACATATTGAAGAATTTTACAATATTTGTAAAGCTGCTTTCTCTGCTGAACGCAGCTAATGCCTAATCATCGCGTACTGATGAATTCAACGGGATAACTAAATCGCGCTCAT